TTTTATTCAAAAATAAAAACATCATCGCTTTCTCAAAATCACATAAAGTCATATTATAACATCGACTGAGATAAAGAATAAAATGAAATATTAAAATTATAATGTATCTCGCTGCATTGCGCGAGTACGCTTCTAGTAATTTAAAAAATGTCAATTTTATGAATCTATAGTTTGAAAAATATCTATTTTATTTTGAACACGGTTTTAAAAAGTATATATTCCTCAAACTCAATATATACATATTTTAAACTATAAATTTTTAAATAGATATTAAACTATAGACCTTTAAACGTGTCTTTTAAAAGTATATATATTCCTCAAACTTAATATATATATATACTTTTTTGTAAAACCCATTTTTTTTATTAAATATATAAATAGTATTACATGGGCCTTTAAATATTTTTTTTATTAAAATTAATTGAAATGTAAAATATTTACGTAATTGATTAAGGATTATAAAGTAGAAATCTTAAATAAATAAATAATAAAAAGAAAGACAAAAATGAAAATAAAATAGAATTGTTTTCTTTTAATTATTGGACCAAAAATGTAAGATATTACGTCAGGAGGGGTCTAATGGTAAATGTCAGAAACTTGAGGGGGCTGAATATCATCTTTTTCAAAGATGAGGGACCTGTTTTGCCAAAAGTACATAACTGTTTGAGAAAACGACCCATCAGCCTAAAACTCGTGATTTGTCTGATTTTTTCAACTAATAAGCCAAAACTCTTGGCATATAAATTGTAGAGCTCTGGCTTAGGAACGTTTTGGTTCAAATAACTCGAAAAATCATTGAGTTTTGAGAGAGAAATCTGAGTTTGAAGTTCGGGATCGAAAATCTCGGTTTTTCACCGATTTTGGGTGAGATTCTTAACCAAATCTCTTGATTTTTATGTCTATAGCTTCGTTTTTAAGTACTCTATCAAACCCCAGTAGCCTCATGTCTCATATTTGTGTTTATGTGGTTTGATTTTACGTTTTTAAGTTGTTAAATTTTAGTTTTAAAATCAAACTTTAAATGAGTAAATGGAACTCATTTCTTGATGAAAATTCGTGTTTTTTTATGTCAAAGTGTTGGTAAAAATATTACCAAGAGTTTGGCGCAAAAAGAATGAAGAAAAACGATTAATAAACGAGCCATTTTCAAGCTCAAAGAGCTTGAAAACGTGCAGCCCATAGCTGCAGTTTTCGTCCTTTGCTTTTTTTTGTTTCCCTTAAAAATTACTTGGAAAAAGAGTGTTCAGGCTGGGCTTCGAACCCGCGACCTCACACTCATAGCCCAACACCTTAACCAGCAAGCTATATGAGATTTGTTACTTTTTATGCGTTCATGTTTTTAATATATTGTATACATTTGAGTTTTAGAAATTAACATTTAACAACTGCATTCTCAGAAATTTAATTTTTCTCTATATAAATTTTATAAAACTTTCATTAAATTTATTTATATTTTGTAAAATGCAAATTTTGACCAAGTTTTGATTATTTATCTCATTTAGTTACCAAAATGACCCTATAAGTGGGAAATCGGTATTTTAACAATACTTTACGTATTTACTTCAATAATTTACCGAAATAACCATRTATCTTGGGGATTGGTTTATGAGCTTCATTTTTATATTATTATTTTTATAAAATTACCAAAACGACCTTATATTTGGAAATCGGTATTTTTGCAATATTTTACGTATTTGCTTTATAAATTACCGAAATGACCCTATGTATTGGAATTTGGTATCTAAGTGTTATTCTGAATATAATCCCTATATAATTACCAAAATAATCCTACAACTTGGAAATCGGTATTCTAGCGATACTTTACGTATCCGCCCTATAAATTACCGCAATGACATTATATCTTGGGAATTGGTATCTATGCTTTATTTTGATTATCATCTTTATGAAATTACCAAAATGACCTCACAATTAGGGAATCGGTATTTTAACAATACTTTGAGTATTGCTTAATAGAATTACCAAAATGCCCCTATGCTTGGGATTGGACTTTTAAGCACAGTTTTAATATTCGACTTATAAAATATACCAAGAATGTTCTATATTAGGGAATTGGTAAAGCTATACCTTTGGTATTCGGCTTCTTAAGATTTACCAAAATGCCCCTTAGACTTGGAAAATTGGTATTCTAAACATTATTTCGAGTATTAGTTATGTTGAACTTTAAAGTTATGAGATGACCATTATTTATATGGGTGTGACATGTTGTCACCATTATTCACTTATAAATTTTAAACGARACGTTTTGGTCGCAAAACATTATTTACGTTGCGAACTATTTAGTTTAGTTATTTTGGTATAATATTTATTATTCAAGAAAATGTGAAGTTCTATAAAATGTACGAGCAAMAATTAATGTTTTAACGAMGTCACATTATTAATAATATTTCAAGAAAATATTGGAGTGAAACATGAGATATGATGTTATCGGGGGTTGACCAATAAAAGGAAAAGTCGTGTTAAGATTGTTAAGGAATGGTAATCAATTTAACTACGATTATTTAMGATGYTTARGAATGGTATAAATTATCWTGTAGGTTGCCGTTTTTGAGAGAAAGACCTATCGAACGTTAACGATTCAAGGTGAGTACA